TAGGGGAAGTGAATCCACATAACAGAAAGATACCCTGCATATGTTGGACACAGACACTGATCTGATCACTGGAAGATGCTGAGGAAGGCACTCATCTGTCAGGGCTGGTTAAATGTTGAAGGAACGAAGAAAAAGTGATACCACAAACAAGCACATGAACTTTGGCAAATAACAGACTAAAGTTAACAACATCTAATAAAGGCAAATGTTTAGTAGTGAAAAGGATAGAGGGGGTGATAGGGGGTCCCTGAAAAGCCTGAGACTTCGTCATCTTCTTTTTTTGGCTGTCTTCAGGGGTCACCACAGCATCCACTGCCATCCTAGCATCCCTACCCCAGCATCCTCCTCAGTCAGACCAAGTCTTTTCAAGTTCTGCACCACCAGAGTTTTCCTCCTTTCTTCTTGGCCAGCAGCTCCATATATTTGCTATCCCACCTTTGTACATGTTCAACCCATCTTCACCTCGGCTTTCTAATTTTATTTCCAAACTCCTCAACCTCAGCTGTCCCTCCAATATACTCATTTTTTTTTTATCCTATCGTCTCTGGTCTCTCCCAATAAAAATCCCAGCATTTCCACTGTCTTCGAACCACAGCGCTTTCATAAATCCAATGGTGTGTCTGTGATCACAAGTGGAAGAAGAGGAGAGAGAGGAAGAGAAAGGGGGGAAGGGTGTTTGCCCCCTGCAGGGCTGCTGATGGATGCAGGGCCCCCAGGGTTAAGGGGAGGGCGACAGGACCCTGAGCCAGGGCACAGAATAGCAGCTACCTGCCACTCATCTACAAATACACATAAGGACACATGCAAAAGGTTTTATTACAGTTTTCAGCCACAACACACACATTACCTCACACACTGACCCACGTAATGTTTCAACTGAGGTTACGTGTTTAACTTGTCACCGCACACAGATGTATATCCACATGTGCGCACATCCACGGAGCAGAGGAGGCTAATGAGAGGGAGGGAACAGAAAAACAAACTATGTGCTAACATGACGCCTGTCAGTAGAGCAGATAATAGATGAAATGTCTCTTTTTAAACTGTCATTCAGTATAAAGTCACTAAGAACACTGGGGGCAACTAGTGTTTTCCTACACCTAATAATTTCTGCTGCAGCGCCCACTGGTGGCTTCAGTCAGTATGACATGCTTCACTGAAACCATCTTCTTTCAGTGGCTGGGGGGCTTTGGTTTAATGAGGTATGAGGGTGTTCTTAGCAAAAACTCATCAGAGCAAACCTGGACATTACTTATAACCTAAAAACAAAATGACTCCACCTGATCTAATGAACCTCCTCATCCATCCTCTCAGCCATCAAAGCGATATAAAGTTGTCACTGGTCATTTTAAGCCTTTAAGGGTTTTCTTAAATATAACTCGGGAGGCTGTGAGGTGTGAATGTCACATACTGCTGTCGGCTTTGCCTTAATGAACCGATGTCTCCCTCTGTCATGAGATTAAGGCTTTAAAAGCCAGATAGTCACTGTAGTCTAGTTACATGTTGCAAGAAAGAGAGGCTGCGGTCTTTATCAAATTTAGTTTTCTGTTTTAATTGTTTGTATTTGTGTGTTTTTTGTTTTAGTTTGTTTGTTCAATGTTTGCATCCCAGAACTGAACGATCAACGCGAGCGTCTGCGGGGTCATCAAATCGCCTTCGTGACAAACAGGTAAAGCCCCCAGAAAAGTGTTTGTCACCCTGATGCCTTGTTGTAATTTACTGTATTTGTTTGGTGGTTTTAATTTTTCATGCAG